GTAAGTATGGTTGTTGTGAAGCTTGTTGGGGGCATCACATGTATGCTAATAGCCACAGAAAAACTCGTGTCCTGGCATATTGTTTCCCTTGTTTGTTTTTTTTTTGTTGAGACAGAGCTGGCTCACTGCTGTTGGCCTGCGGCCTAAACGAGTGGCCTGGTGTCAGCCCTACCTCACAGCAACTTCAAAACTCTCGGGCTCAAACATCCTGTGGGCCTGCCTGAGGTAGCTGGGACTACACGGCAGGGTGGTTCCGGATGATGCGCCGGGCTGAATTTGTGGGCTAATTTTTTGTATATAATTTATTTGGCAAATTATTTATTTTCTATTTTTTGGAGGGGTGGGGGAACCTGCTACCTTCTGATTTCAAGATGGTTCTTTTTTAAGCACCAAAGGAGGCAAGAATATTTTCTATTTTCAATAGAGATGGGATCTCTGTCTTGCTCAGGCTGGTTTCAAACTCCTGACCTTGAGCAATCAGTCTATCTAGCCTCTCAGAGTGCCAGGGTTACAGGGGTGAGCCGCTGGGCCTGGCCCATTTTTTTCCTTTTTAATAAAATAGATTTTAAAGGGAAATACCTGAACCTTATAAATTTGGGAAAAGGGTCATTTAAAAGAATGGGCATTTTGCTTACTGATTTCAGACACTTAAAATTTATTTGTTTAGGAGTTTCTAATTATCATTTCACTTCAAATTTGGTAGCCAATACTTAATAAATAGCATTTTTTTCTCTCATTGTTCTAGTTCATTACCATACTGTTGTTTTTATTAGCCTCTAGGGATTTGAAAACACCATCACCAATTTTAATACTGTTCATTTGTCATAATATTTGAATGTGTCTTTTCACATTTTTCTTAACATTGCACTGGCTCCGTATATTTTATTATTAATTTTAGCTATATTTATTATACTCCATGTAGTAATTATTCTAAATTTCATTGCCTACATTATATTATCTTATTGCACATTCCTTGTATTTAGCCTATGCTTACTTTTATGAATTCCAAAGACTAACATCTAGTACACTTATTATCAGTTATCTTCTATTCTAGTAATCTAGTTTTTAGCTGTGTTATTTCACCTAAATACTCTTGAATCAAACACAGTAAGGAACTTGGATATGGAGAATTTCCATTGTCTTTTAGTCTAAACAATATGAATATTCAATATGACAATATGAATATTATATATAATATTCAATAAACAATATGAATATTAGTAATAGGGCCTAGTTTTAGTTTTTAATATTTAAAAAAGCTTTTAATATACTATTTCAAAAATATTATAACCCAATGAGTATCAATGATAACCACTTTGAGTAAAACATTTTATATTTGTTAAAAGATTTTTAAGATCAAGTTATTTAAATTGATCAAAATGTGCTGAAAAATGTGGTTATACCACATATACCAAGTTCAATATTTGTCAATTAAGCGAAGCTTGTTTGTTGTATGGTTGGAATTTTTGAATAATTAATAAATTTCAGCTGTGTTATCTAATGATAATGACAAACAGTTGGTTTAATTTTTCCACTTTGGCCAAGGAATTGCCCCGTTTATTTTATAAATCTCTCAAAAATTCTTCCTTGATTATTTCAAACCGGGAGTTGTCACTCTAAAAAAGGGGGATCGTGACCTTCATGCTGTGAGGCCTTGTCCTCAGCTCCTCCATGATCAGTTTTCACCACAGATTCACTTTCCGAAATTCAGAACGATGGATCCATCCAGCCTATCTCTTCAGAACAGGCTCATTTAGATCATTGCTTGTGACAAAATAGTTCAAATTCAAAGGGTTCCAAAGATCATTTTCTTTACTTTATGAGTCTCATATTTATGAGCTATCAATTAAATTCTCACTAAGACCTCTTAACAAGATTCTTGTGCTTACTTTGTCCCACCCAGGTTTTTGTGTACATTTTTTTTTTAATTTTTTTTTTTTTTTTTTTTTTTGAGACAGAGTCCTTCTGTTGCCCAGGCTAGAGTGAGTGCCTGGGTCAGCCTGCTCACAGCAACCTCAAACTCCTGGCTCAAGTGATCCTCCGCCTCAGCCCCGAGTAGCTGGGACTACAGGCAGCCCACCATGCCCGCTAATTTTTCTATATATATTAGTTGGCCAATTAATTTCTTTCTATTTATAGTAGAGACGGGGTCTCGCTCTTGCTCAGGTTGGTTTCGAACTCCTGAGCTCAAACGATCCGCCCACCTCGGCCTCCCAGAGAGCTAGGATTACAGGCGTGAGCCACCGCGCCCGGCCTTTGTGTACATTTTTACCTGAGAATATTAGAAACAACATGCTACTAAACTCCACAGAAAATTACATATGTGAGGTGACTAACTTCTTTTTGGATTTTAAGGTAAAATGTCGAAACCTGGTCTTTGATATCATGCAGTGTCTCATACAGTATTTCCCTCAAGCTCTATCCTGACCACTTGCTGTGCAGTTACTGCTTTTCTTCCCACAATTGTGACACAGTAATAAGCACTCTTTTGCATTTCATTAAACTCTCATTATGCTTCTGTACCCAGATAATTTCAGGGTATTTTATTTGTTTATTTATTTTAATTAATTAATTTTTTTTGAGACAGAGTCTCACTTCTGTTGCCCTGGCTAGAGTGCCATGGCATCAGCTTAGCTCACAGCAACCTCAAACTCCTGGGCTCAAGCAATCCTCCTGCCTCAGCCTCCTGAGTAGCTGGGACTACAGGCATGTGCCACCATGCCTGGCATATATATATATATATATATATATATATATATATATATATATATATATATATATATATACACATATATATATATATTTAGTTAGCCAATGAATTTCTTTCTATTTATAGTAGAGATGGGGTCTTGCTCTTGCTCAGGCTGGTCTCAAACTCCTGACCTTGAGCAATCCACCCGCCTCGGCCTGCCAGAGTGCTAGGATTACAGGTTGTGAGCCACCGCACCTGGCCTAATTTCAGGGTATTTTAAATTAATAGGTTTAAAGTCACACACTCTTATAAGCTCCTTATCCCCCAAATTGTTAGAGGTCCAGTTATAAAATAATTCTTACAATTAAGGTTTCCATTGACGTAATTGACAAGATAGGAATTATGAAAGAAGCTTCAATATATTCACTCTGTACCTACTATTCATACCATGTGATAAATCCTATGAGGGCAGGGTCTGGGTCTGGGGTGCACACACTCTCTCCTATGTGAGTGATCATAGTGGTGGTTAAACCTCTGCAAGAAAAGAGTAAATAATGAATAATCACTAACCTCCTAAAATTTACAGTCATCGTGTTAGCTTAGAGAATATTCTACTTCTTCCACAGCAGGCGGAGAAGATTTGGGCTATCCTAGGGTCACGGCCCATGAGAACAAAGGGGCTGACTGTAGGAAAACAAGAAGTAATTAGTGCAGACGTGTTTAGCAACCACAAACCTGGACTAGGAAAAATAATCAACAATAATGTAAAGACAAAGGAAAGGGTGTAAAATGACACAAAGGTGCTCACTAGAACAAGGATGCTTTGGGTGACTCTGGACTCAGGGGAGGATCTGGGGGAGAGGTTGGTGCTATGAATGTGTTGCACCTGCTGCTTGTGCCTGTGCAGTATGCAAACCATGGAGCCGCTGGCCCAGGTCATGAGTCCCCAACACAAAACATCATAGAATGCTAACAACATAAAGTGTAGGAATCCTATAATGCTGTAGTCAAAATCTAATATGGCACAGTGTCCCAAGACCTTATGCTTTGTGTTGTTTATGCTGTTCTGCTGGCCAGTCACATTCTGAATAATATTGGCATTTACCACCAGGTTCAGGATCCAGCACAGGATACTGAGGGGCCCAATGCATTGAGAAACTTGTGGTTTCAGCTCAGCCCACCTGGAGACTGTAGGGCTGATGGTGATGGCCTGGAAGACACTCAAGAGACAGGTGGTGCCAATGCCCACACCCCTGCCCACTCTGTGAGCATAGAAAACAAGTTTGCACAAGAAGTCATTCCAGAAATGTTTCAGCTCCAAAGCTGTCACTGTGTGTGGGACTCCTTTGGAGAGTATGACCAAGATGTTGGCTACAGTCAGGTGCTTGAGAACCAAATCTGTGAATCTTAAAGTGCCTCTGGTATAAGAAAGGAAGCTGAAATGGAAAAGAAGAAGGAAATTCCCCAGCAATCCAACTGTGGTCTGAGATAAAAGGATCATTTCTATTGCCACATCTGTTGAGGCCATTTGTCATTTTCCGGTGACTGACAATCTCACTGATTGTGAGAGAATCCTGTGTGGGAATATAAGGATTGTTTTATTTGATGACAACTAAAAGTCGCTATTGTACTCATACCATTATATTCAGCTAACACGTTCTTAATAAAATCTATTTCCCTTCAGTAAGAGTTTCACTATTGTATGAAATTACATTTATAATTATTATATATAATATATATTTTTTCTATCTATCTATCTATCTATCTATCTATCTATCTATCTATCTATCTATCTAGACAATCTTTCCACTACAAGAGGAGTATATTAATGTGTTGCATACATCTTTTCAATACTTGTCATGCTTTATTATTCCCATTGTACAGGTGAGAAGATCTTAGGCATGGGGAGGCTAAATGACATTTCTCTAGTAAACTCCTTGTTGAGAGGAGTGTCAGAAGTTAATAGTTGACTTTATCACTTGCTGTCTCAAATTAGACATAAGTATATATTTTCAATCATACACATATTTTCTTCATATCTTCGCTTATCTTGTTAGTTTTAAACAGAGTGATCATGCGCCTTTTTTACCCAATTTTGACTGTGGTAATTTTTTATTGAAATACATTTATTTATTTCATAGGCATTATATCATCTATGTTATACCAGAGATCCAAGTAGAATATAAGTGTGTTGATTTTGCTATATAATCTTACAATTGTCATCATACAAAATCCAATGGAATTTATTTTTTTATTATTATTTTTATTTCAGCATATTATGGGGGCAATGGAATTTATTGAATGCACAAATGATTCCACGTTGGTATTAAAAGAGGAGACTCTACCTCATCTTAATCAAGAAGGACCACAGATTGGAATGACTGTGTGCTGAACCAGGGGACATGAGACACAAGCAGGAAATAAAATACTGCAGAGGAGAAGCTATTAATAAATTACCAGTAACATATACAGAGAATTAGTATTTGTGAATGCAAAAGTATAAATAAAATCACTACAGTGTCAGAATGGTTAAATATATTAAAACATAAGTGTATTATCTAAACGGAAATTGGAGGCACGAAAAGTTACTCTCTTAATCCATTTAAATAGCAGTAGCCTGAGTATTAACATGGGAATTTTAACATTGGGAAATTAACACTGGGAATTAACTGAGAATTAACATTGGGAACTTTTTGTTCAACAGAAAATATCACAAACAATTCAATTCTTTAAATAACTGAAATCATAATTTGTAAAGATACAGAAAGCCTCATGTGGAAAGTAGGGCTGCTAGCACAAAATAAATGAAAAAATAAATAAATATAAAATAATAATAAAAATACAGAAAGCTAAGGTTAAGTTACATTTCCTGTTTTCTTCATTAAAAACTGTCATATACCACAATGATGAACAACAAGTGTTCTCTGTCACCAGAAAGTTATGGTCACCATTAGGTATATTAATATTCCTAGAATTGGCAAAACAAAACAAAACAAAAAAAACAAAAAACAACCCTATGTTTACTATCTCTAAACAGAATAAAGTAATTCAATCAGCCATACCTTATACATTATCACAGCCATGAAGGTATTGTAGAAACACCTCTACCCATCCTAGAAATGGTGCCACTTCCTCCTGTAGGAAAGGTAGAGAATCTACAAAATTAATTCCAAATTTATACTAGAGAACCTAAAAACATCTGGGCATCTATGACTCTATCAAAATCAACAAAGGTGAACAGTGAGGATTGCATTAAATTAAATTAGAAACACTTACCGACTGGTTTATGGTCTTGACCTCCATCCTTTTCCATAAGTTCAACCTATAACTCAGTCATTCTTTCCTCCTTCTTGCATGAATGTTGTACTGGTTCAGTTTCCAGCCTCAAACAATCTGTTTTTCAGACAAGAACACTTACCCAAGCTCCTCATACACTTACTGCCCTTGCAGACTATGCCTCACAGACCAAAATATAAAATGCTCACCTGAGTTTCTTCCATTGCTGATGGGCTCAGGGATCACAATCAGGTCAGCACAGCCAGTGAGTGTGTGGGAGGGGGCAGCCAGGTCTGAGAGATATGCTTTGTGATCCTGTGACCTCACCTCCCCACAGGGCTGCAGTTATCATGTCACCTGTAGTAACAGTGACACTGCACACTGGGGAGCTAATCATAGTTTGAAAAACTTTGCCCCAGTTTCCAGTTACCAAAAACAATGATGCCTTTCTGGTGAGCACCTCCAGGGAGATGAGTGTGTTTGGAAGAGGCCCTTCGTTTCCATTTCCATGATCCCTGGAGGCAGACAGGGGCTCCCCTGGAGAAATGACACAATGATGAGGTCTGAGACATGAGGGGCTGACAGCAAAGCACATGTGTCTTCCTGGATTCTGTGCTTCCCTATGATGTTCCCATGGGGAAAATATAATTTTCTGTTAATCATGAAGATTCTAAGCTACGTGTTATTATTTAATTATGGCTAGAGAAATGGAATCATACAAAGAATTTGAGGAAGATTTGTCAACAGGTTACAGTGCAAATAACATGTTGCACTGTAGCAGCTTCTCTGCACTGTAAGAACTTGAAGTCTAATATTGATATGAAAAATAAATGGGAAAAATTTTGCAAATCAATGGAAATTAACATGAACATGTAGATGATATAATCTGCTAAAGTATACCTTTTCAGCATTTACTCCCTTGAGGATAGGGAGTCTCAACTGTTTGATACTATAGAAGAGACACTTTTATCAGTCTCTCATGTGCTTAACCCCACAAATTTATGTAATGCATGGAGCAATTGTATTAATGAACTAATTGATCTAATGATGCCACCTAACTATTCAAGGGATTTATTTTTGTGAAATCTTCCCGATACTTAGTAGGATATGTGCATAAGAGTAATATGGGAACTTTCCCTGCATCGAGCCATATAGGATATGACAGACATATGGGAAACGTGAATGTAGATTTGAAGACTTTATGTGCACACAAATATGCACAAACATGTTTATGGTAGTTTTGTTCACAATTCCAATACTTCGAAGCAGCAAATTCAACCTTCAGTAGATAAATGGATAAACTGTGGCACTTCCAGGTATGAAATATTATTCAGCATTTAAAAGACATGAACTTACCAAGCCATGAAAAGACATGGATGAAACTGAAGTGCATAGTACTAAGTGAAAGAAACCAATCTGAAAAGGCTATATTCTGTATGACTCCAGCTATTTGACCTTCTGTACAAGAGAAAATTATGAAGACAGTATAATGCTCAATGGCCAGGGATTTCTTGGAGTGAGAGACACATAGCCACTGAACATTTCTAGCTCACAAAAACTACTCTCTATGACTCTATAATGGTAAACACTTGTCATCACATATTACTCCAGTTTTGGGATATAAAGGCTTTAGGAACAGAGCCAGTTTTGTTTTTCAGTTGGAGAATTGTAGCAAGATATCAAATAAAATTAGGGGAATTTAGGATATAGTACAGTCTAGCTGTAGATAACAAGAACTTAAAGAGTGTATATGGCTACAATCTAATAACAGGTGTTTTATAGTTTTTCGTTAGAAGCATAATTTTTATCTCTAAATTGATTGCATAGAATTAAAAGAAAATCCTCTTGAGGCTAGGAATATTAACCAAAATGGAGTTTATATTTTGCTTACAAGATTAAGTTTCTTGGGCCTGGCAAGACATTGCAATTTAAAATTACTGCCTATAAGGGTGGGACTGCATGAAGCCAGGTGTTTCGTGTGCAACATTAAATACGACATCTTAGTAAAAACTTTCATAATATACCTTATGTTTTCAATTGTATCCTGTCTATAGAGAGAGAGCCTTTTAAAAATGAAACTTAAGTAAATAAAAATAAGAATACACATGCTCATGATAAAAGCAACATATAACAAACCCACAGCCAACATCATACTGAATGGAGAAAAAAATGAAAGAATCCCCGCTTAGAAATGGAACCAGACAAGCTTGCCCTCTATCACCACTTCCATTCAACATAGTGCTGGAAGTCCTAGCCAGAGAAATCAGACAAGAGAAGAAAATCAGCTACATCCAAATGACAGTTGAAGAGGTCAAACAATCACTCTTTACAGACAGTATGATCTTATATCTAGGAAAAACCCTAAAATTCTATCATGCAGGTACTGGAAAGAATAAACAAATTCAGCAAAGTCTCAGGTTACAAAATTAATGTACAGAAATCAGAGGGGGGGTGGAGCAAGATGGCGGACGAATAACACTGCCAGACAGAGTGTCTCTGCAGAAAAGACAGATTCTAGCAGAAATTAGAAAAAGGAAGCAAGAAGACAAGCATACAGAGGACAAGGGCCGGAAGGAGGGGTACCTGAGACTCCGGGAGACTCCACGGGAGGAGGCTGCGGAGGAGAATTGGAGGCTGAGACCTACAGAGAGCCAGAACCACGCATAGGTAGGTGGATTGCTGTTCCCTCCCCTGCATTTGGAATGCCTGGGGCTCCCACAGGTGGAGAGACCTGCGACATAGCCCAGAACCGCCGCCTAGTAGGTGGTGAGCCTGTAGCAGACATGGCCCAGGTTCCAATTCTCCGGCACCTCCGTGTGCACAACCCAGCCACGAGGCAGGCGCCATATGCTCCTCCTCCCTCCGCCGACCCTACCCGCGGCTACCCAGAGAGACAATACAGCACCAGCCAGAGCACCTCCAGGGAACGGACCCTTCCCTTTTGGACCCTACCAGCTGACTCAGGGGAACTCAGACTGTAGGCTCTCCTACCCGCACACCCGCTCCAGGTGCTGCTGGCATGGTGTTCCCAGAAATGGTGCCGACTCACGCAGGCTGAGGAGACATCAGACCCAGTTTCGGTCCCTGTAGTTGTAATTGGGGACCAGAAATTCCTTCCCTGGTGGGATAAGTTTACTCTGGGAGCCCAAGGCCAGAGCTGCAGACCAGTCCCCCTACACGAGGGCGAGCATGTGCCCGGGACAAGAAAGGATATATGTGAACAGCCTCAGGTGTGTGTGCGTCCAGGCGGTGGTCAGCGTCCAGAGGGCAACCCTTTTCCCAGGAGGAGGCGTGCGCCAAACCCGGGCGTTCCTGTGCAGACCTCGCCGCTCGGCATCACAGTCCGTGCGAGGCCTGGTGGTTGGGTTCTGGCCTGTTGCAAGGCCCAGGAGGTAACCTGCGGAGTTTGGGGAGGTGTGGAAAGAAGCCGGCCCGCTCAGACTGGGTCTCAGACAGCCTGGCACACACACAGACTTCTGCTGACGCGGGGACCATTCCCAGCCCACCTGCAGCTTTCCCTGGAAGCAAGAGAACAGACTTTGACCACCTGATAACAATGCTTGAGGGCAGCTTACCCAACCCAGCTCCGCCCAGACAAGAGCTATAACAGACACAAATCAACCCAGCATAGCCTGTTTCCTCCAAGAAACGCCACCTACTGACAGGATGGCATCTTTGCACAGCCTTTCCACGGCACCCACTCGACTCAACATACATGGGAGTGGTCTAATCTCACCACAACACCCAGATCGCCTCAGAAACTAAACAGTATGTGACTATCCCAAACGAATAACTTAAGGAAAGAAACAACTACTGATCACATGGGAAGAAATCCAGCCGAAAGAACTCAGGAATATGATAGAACCAAACGGAAACACACCCCCATAAGGAGCACAGCCCCTAGAAACGGACACCCAACCAAATCGGCAACGAAATGACAGAATGGAATTTCGTATGTGGATCATAAAACATCCACCCAGCCTGCAACAACAACTCAATAAGCAACACCAAGAAACCACAAAAGCCTCCAGGATGGAAGAAACGACAATGAACGAATGTTAACCGAACCCTGAAGAGTGAGAATCAATTCAGAATACAAAATACGAGTGGAAAGTCCTCAAGAACAGTGCGTAGGATCAAACAGAAGAAAGACTCTCAGAGCTTGGAAATAACCTCGCAACTAAATACCAACATCACAGAGATAGAGCAGAGAAAAGAAAAAAGCAAGCTACAAGTAGCGTGGGATTATGTGAAGAAACCTACATGTGAGGGTCATAGGGTTCAGGAGGGGAAGAAGCAACACTCAAGCGTTGGACAAGCTGTTTGAAGATATAGTTAGAGGAAATTTTCCCAGGCCTTGCCAAAATCTTGATATACAGTTCAAGAACTCAAGGACCCTGGAAGATTCAACGCAGAACAGGAAGACTCTACGACATGCTTCAGTCATCAGTACAACAGTATCAACTAAAGGGCCCTTCTAAGCTATAGACAAAGAAGCAGTAAACATACAAGGAAAGCAAATTCGAATAACATCAACTTCTCTAATGATGACTTACAAGCAAGGAGGGACTGGCCCCATTCTCATCTTTTGAACAAAAAAGCCAGCCAGAATATTGACTTCTGCAAAACTAAGCTTGTATATGAATGAGAAAGAAAACATTCTCAGACAACAAAGGCTCAGAGAATTACCAAGACAAGACAGACTACAGAATATTAAAACAGCGTGTATGCACGGAACATCATAATAAACCACAATACAAACATAAACAACAACAACCCAAAGATATTAAAGGCCAAATATTACAATGGCTTCAAGACGAATCATCAGCAACAACTTCCACCCAACAGAAGAAGTAATCTACTTACCTATCAGTCTCTCAACTAAATGTGAAGGCTAACATCTCCCACTCAGAGACATGCTGCTGAATGGTAAGGAAAATTATGGCAAGTATAGCTGTCTTCAGGAAACACATCTAACCTGCAATGGATGCATATAGATAAATAAATGGGTGAGATCAATATCCAAGCAAATAAAGCCAAAGAAGCTGGTGTGGCAGTTCTAATTTCAGACGATTTAGTTTTTAACCAACAAAGTAGTAAAAGACAAGAGGGTCATT